AACACAGAAAAGCTGCAGGGATGGGGTCAGGGCTGAGAAAATCTCACCTGCAGGACATTTCTGGCAAAAGAGTCTCTTGCTTGGCACGTAGTAAACATCCTTCCCTTCCCAGGCCAGGTCCGAGGGGTCCGAGCTGTCCCTGCYCCTCCTCAGTGAGACAGCATCGGCTCCCAGAGCGGTCACCTGCTGAAAACACAGGAAAACCTGCTGAAAACACAGGAAAATTGGATTAAAAACCATCCCAACCATGATCTGAGGGATCTGAGCTGTCCCTGCTCCTCCTCCTGAGGAAGCGTTGGCTCCTAAAGCAGTCACCCGTTAAAAACACAGAAAAAATTTGGGCTAAAAACCACCCCAAGCCATGATCTGAGCTGTCCCTGCCCCTCCTGAGACAGCATCAGCTCGCAAAGGGGTCGCCTTCTAAAAACAAAGAAAAACTTGAGATAAAATCATCCCAACCCACAATCTGAGGGATCTGAGCTGTCTCTGCTCCTCCTCCTGAGACAGAACCGGCTCCCAAAGCAGTCACCCGTTAAAAACACAGAAAAAAATTGGGCTAAAAACCACCCTAACCTACAATGTGAGGGGTCTGGGCTGTCCCTCCTCCTGAGACAGCATCGGCTTCCAAAAACAGTCAGCTGCTAAAACCACAGAAAAATTTGGGCTAAAAACCACCCCAAACCATGATCTGAGGGATCTGAGCTGTCCCTGCCCCTCCTGAGACAACACCAGCTCCTAAAGGGGTCACCTGCTGAAAACACAGAAAAATGTGGATTAAAAACCACCCCAAGCCATGATCTGAAGGATCTGAGCTGTCCCTGCTTCATCGGCTCTCAAAGCAGTCACCCGCTAAAAAACACAGAAAAATTTCGGGTAAAACCACCCCAAGCCACAATCTGAGGGGTCCGGGCTGTCTCTCCTCCTCCTCAGTGTGACAGCATCGGCTCCCAAAGGGGTCATCTGCTAAAAACACAGAAATACTTGGGGTAAAAACCACCCCAAACCATGATCTGAGGGATCTGAGCTGTCCCTGCCCCTCCTGAGACAGCATCAGCTCCCAAAGCAGTCACCCACTAAAAACACAGAAAAAATTTGGGCTAAAAACCACCCCAAGCCATGATCTGTGCTGTCCCTGCCCCTCTTGAGACAGCACCGGCTCGCAAAGGGGTCATCTGCTAAAAACACAGAAAAATTTGGGGTAAATCCACCCCAACCCACAATCTGAGGGGTCTGTGCTGTCCCTGCTCCTCCTCAGTGAGACAGCACTGGCTCCCAAAGCAGCCACCCGTTAAAAACACAGAAAAATTTGGGGTAAAACCACCCCAACCCACAATCTGAGGGATCTGAGCTGTCCCTGCTCCTCCTCCTGAGACAGCACCATCTCCCAAAGGGGTCATCTGCTAAAAACACAGAAAAATTTGGGGTAAAACCCCCCCAAGGCACGGGGCGAGGGCAGAATGGGACAGGCGAGAGCTGCGGTGCCAGGGGAGGGGAGAGGAGCTCTGGGGTGACTCAGGGCCTTCCCTTGACTTGGCAAAGGCCATTCCCCACAACTGAACTGGTTTTCCCTCAGCAGAGCCCCCGGGGGAATTCCGGGGACTGAATTATCAGCGGGGCAAACACTCCCAATGACCCCTTTTCCTTCCCCAATTTCTGGGCACGCATCAACGGCGCTGAGTGGAAAGGAAAGGTCGGGGAGAGGAGAGGAATGGGTTTGGGGGAGTAATGGGATTGGAGGAGGAATGGGTTTGGGAGAGGAATGGGTTTGGGAGAGGAATGGGTTTGGGGGAGGAATGGGTTTAGGGGAGGAAGGGGTTTGGGGGAGGAATGGGTTTGGGGCAGGAATGGGTTTGGGGGAGGAAGGGGTTTGGGGGAGGAATGGGTTTGGGGGAAGAACGGGTTTGGGGGAGGAATGGGTTTGGGGGAGGAAAGCAGGGCTGGAAGGTGCCCAAAGAACCCTCTGGGGTCCCAGAGCATGGCTTGACCTCGCGTTCCCCCCTTGTCCCCATTATCCCACCGCGGGTCAGGAAGAGAAAATCCATTTCCGTCAGCTCTGCATGCTCTGCTCGTGCTGCCTCAGCTCCTTCCGCCCTTTCTGGGCCACTTTGAGGGGACAAAACACTGGCCAGGAGTGGCCATTTGTCCCCTCAGGCTTTGGGCACCTCGGTGTGTCCCCAAAGGGGACAATGGCTTTGGCATCGGAGCCGGTACCGTGGCTATTCATGGGTAGAACGTGTCACAGCCTCTGTCCTCCTCCCCTCTCCAGCCCGGAGGGTGAAATCTGCCTTTTAAAGCGAATTTTTCCGCCGTGAGTCAGAAGCTGCCCGAGATCGCCGAACAATGGAAGCGCCGTCCTGTCCCCTGCCCGCCCGCCTCCTCCTCCTCCTCCTCCTCCTCCTCCTCCCCGGACGCTTCCCGCGCCTGGACCAGGAAAAAACTGGCTGGAGCAGGTCCGGGATGGTCACGGGGCTGCAGAGGGTGAGGCGGGGTCATAAATAACACCTTGGACACCCAAACACACCGCTGACACCGGCCAGGACACCCAAAAACTCCTCTGACACCGGCCAGGACACCCAAAAACACCGCTGACACCAGCCAGGACACCTCGGACACCCAAAAACACCGCTCAGGACACCTTGGACACCCAAAAACATCTCTGACACCGGCCAGGACACCTCGGACACCCAAAAATTCCTCGGACACCGGCCAGGACACCTTGGACACCCAAAAACACCGCTGACACCGGCCAGGACACCTCAGACACCCAAAAACACCGCTCAGGACACCTCAGACACCCAAAAACATCTCTGACACCGACCAGGACACCTCAGACACCCAAAAACTCCTCAGACACCGGCCAGGACACCTCGGACACCCAAAAACACCTCGGAGACTGGCCAGGGCACCTCGGACACCCAAAAACACCGCTCAGGACACCTCGGACACCCAAAAACACCGCTGACACCGGCCAGGACACCTCGGACACCCAAAAACATCTCTGACACCGAGCGGGTCACAAAGTGCCACCACGGAGTCCCCAAACCCGGGAACAGCCCCAGCTCCAGACCCAGATTTGGTGGGATCAAACCCTCCAGCGGTTTCTGGCTCAGAATCTCTCAGCTTCTGGCTCATTCCTCCAGCCAGGAATATTTTTCAAGTCAGAAAAATGTTTTTTTTTAATCCACTCGGCCGCAAAGGCTTCACCCACTGTGGTCCTGGGAGCGAAGGGACAACTTTTCTCACTTTCCCTGCTGTTCCCACGGGGAAAAAAACACATTTTTTCTGCCCATCTGAACTTTGCCACGCTGTGAGGGTGATCACAACACCAACAAACACATTTTTCCCTACCCATCTGAATTGTGAGGGTGATCAGGGTGATCCCAGCASCAWCAAACACATTTTTCCTGCCCCTCTGAACAGTTTGGGTGATCAGGGTGATCTCAGCACCAACAAACACATTTTTCCTGCCCATCTGAACAGTTTGGGTGATCAGGGTGATCCCAGCACAATTTTCTTCCCCATTTGAACTTTGCCATGCTGTGATGAGGGTGATCCCAGCACCAACACATTTTTTTCCTATCCATCTGAACTATCAGGGTGATCCCAGCACCAACAAACACATTTTTTCCTGCTCATCTGAACAGTTTGGGTGATCAGGGTGATCTCAGCACCAACAAACACATTTTTCCTGCCCATCTGAACAGTTTGGGTGATCAGGGTGATCCCAGCACAATTTTCTTCCCCATTTGAACTTTGCCATGCTGTGATGAGGGTGATCCCAGCACCAACACATTTTTTTCCTATCCATCTGAACTATCAGGGTGATCCCAGCACCCACAAACACATTTTTTTCCTTCCCCTCTGAACAGTTTAGGTGATCAGGGTGATCCCAGCACCAACAAACACATTTTTTCCTGCCCCTCTGAACTGTGAGGGTGATCAGGGTGATCCCAACACCATCAAACACAGTTTTTCCTTTTCCCATCTGAACAGTTTGGATGATCAGGGTGATCCCAGCACCCACAAACACATTTTTCCCTACCCATCTGAATTGTGAGGGTGATCAGGGTGATCCCAGCACATTTTTCTTCCCCATCTGAACTTTGCCACGCCATAAAAGTGATCACAGCACCAACACATTTTTCTTTCCCACCTGAACTCTGCCATGCTGCGATCAGGGTGATCCCAGCACCCACAAACACATTTTTCCTGCCCATCTGAATTGTGAGAGTGATCAGGGTGACCCCAGCACCAACAAACAAATTTTTTTCCTTCCCCTCCGAATTGTGAGGGTGATCAGGGTGATCCCAGCACCCACAAACACATTTTTCCCTACTCATCTGAATTGTGAGAGTGATCAGGGTGATCCCAGCACCAAGAAACACATTTTTTTCCTTTTCCCATCTGAACAGTTTGGGTAATCAGGGTGATCCCAGCACCCACAAACACATTTTTTCTGCCCACCTGAACTCTGCCACGCGGTGAGGGTGATCCCAGCACCCACAAATACATTTTTTTCCTACCCATCTGAATTGTGAGGGTGATCAGGGTGATCACAACACCAACAAACACATTTTTTCTGCCCCTCTGAACAGTTTGGGTGATCAGGCTGATCCCAGAACCCACAAACACGTTTTTCCTGCCCATCTGAGCTATTTGAGTGATCAGGGTGATCTCAGCACCATCAAACACATTTTTTTTCCTGCTCATCTGAACAGTTTGGGTGATCAGGGTGATCCCAGCACCCACAAACACATTTTTTTTCCTGCTCATCTGAACAGTTTGGGTGATCAGGGTGATCCCAGCACCAACGCAGAGTTTTCTGCTCTCAGGAAAGGCCTCTCCACCCCGGGATTTCGCTGTTTTACAGGGAGCACCAACGCTCTCGCTGATAAGGTTATCAGCCCGCAGCACCCTGCTGCCTCCCCGGCCATCCCAGCACGGAATTYGGGGGTTTTCACCCAGGGTAAACAACCCAAAAAACCCCACAGGCAGAGGAATCACCAGGCACAGGAATCCCTCATCAGCCCCGGAATTAAAAAGCTCGGGAAAGCCTCAAGCTTTGAACGCCCCCTGCTTCCACCCCCGAATTATTTTACTCCTGAGGTGATCCCAAAAGGACAGATCGCTCGTTGAACTTCAGACATGAACATCCCAGAGCCCCTGATGGCAGCGAGAGAGAACCGGGGATGGATAAAACACAACCCAGAGCCCCCAACAGCAGTGAGAGAACATCAGGGATGGATAAAAACCATTCTAGAGCCTGTGACGGCAGAGAGAGA